CAGGTTTCAGCAATCAGGAGTAGTCTCATGATGATCCAGTTTTTCCAGTGTTGACTTGTATGCGATTTTTATGCGTGGCGGTAGGAAGGGGTTAAAGGGCGCAGCATGGTGGCCGGTGTAACATGAGCTGCTTGTGCCCTCCGGGCGGCAGGTACGACATACGAGCGCTGAACGCGTGCCACTCGCCGGGAGCCATGTTTACTGTAAATATTTGGCAGCATCTGCAGGATAAACATTCGCTTCTCATTTACCAGTTTATCTGCCTTTTCACGCCTCCCCGTGTCATCTCCATATCGGCCTCTGTGGTGGCATTTGTCAGATGATTGATACAGATCTAGTATAGTTTTGGTGATGGTGGTTTGGCTGTTTTTATGGTGGGATCTGGAAACTGTTTATGAGCAGTCGGGGGAACTCTAGAGGTATTCGATGGCCTACCGACATCACATGAAGAATCCTTTTGCCCAGGTTTCCACTCGATGACCTTGTTTAGTCCGACACCGGGGCTCCTTCACAGTGTATGACCATAAATATTTACCGCAAGCATTTTGGTGGTGTAATCTGACCTGACCTGTGGCACCATGTAGTGCCTGCAAGTTCATGTCTTGATATCATTCTTTATGTCCTGTGGAGCTTCTTGGATCCTAGGCCTAGGCTATACATAGGGACTTGACCTTTGTCCAAGTTGAGATGAAACGCTCCCCCCCTCCCCTTCTGAGATGCTAAGCCATGTCTACATAATTCATATACAATAGCACTCTTCAATGGAGACTCTGGTACATAACATTTAATTGATGGGGGTGGGGCTTACTGCCAGGAGGAGGTGTGGCCTAAGCTCAAGGTGAAGCATAAGTCAAGTTCCCATGTGCACCTTGGGTCTAGGATCCCTGTGGGCTCCACTGATCAACACAAATCGATGTGAAGACCAAAAAAAAAATTTACTCGTACCCATTACAAGATGTAATGGGTACTACCCCTATCGTTTATCTGCCAAGTATCAGAACTTCTACTGCTTACTGAAGTTCTGCTATTTCATTGACTGATGGAGCCAGGGCTTCACACCAGGAGGAGTTGCATCTCAACTTTATAAGAGACGTCAACCCCGTGTGCAAGCTTGGTCTAGGATCCAAGGGTCCTGCCACAGGGATCAAAGAAGAACACGGGTCATTTCAGATAAGAGTTATTGGGCCGGTCAAGTTCAATTTGAAGCGGTACAAGAGGTGCCCATTGGAACCAATGTTTAGTCTACTGAAGTCCTCTACGAGTAAATGGGTTTTATTAGTTACTACTTAACCAGTGAGTCCGGCTTCTAGTCCTGGGGGGGGTAGCCAGTGCGGGATTTCCCACAAGGCCAACCAAGGCAAGACTTTGGGGCAGGGGTGTGGAATTCCTATCTCCTGACGCCCGGGACATGCAGTTCCAGACACCGGGTGGGTAATTGTTTTCCACATTTAGCCCCGCTATGGGCAAGCAGAGATAAATGTAGAGCGGGGAACCGCCGCTTGTTTTGTACCAGTGATCCCGAAGATGTCGCTGAGATCACTTTTATGCAGCCTGCAAGTCTGCCATTCTCCATGGGGGGTTTGGCAGGTAGGGGGGCGCATTGAGGAAACCCGCCTTGGGGCAGCAGAGAGAGTAAATCCGGCCCTGGGGGAGGAGCCGCAACCCAATTTCTTTAACTTCAAGGCCAAGCATCATTTTGTCTCCTGTCCAAGTGTACATTGCCCCACAATAAGCAGAACCTATGCAGTTAGGGCATTGGAACCTCCAAATGTTGGACGTGCGCCCATCCTAATCCCAACCTAGACAGGAGCTTTATCTTTTCCAATAAAAAAAAAAATGGTCCTGGATC